TGTTACTCTCTTGTAACACCTCTAATCTTCTGGCGCTCGTATGACCTTATGCAGTTGCGAGCGCCGTAAAACCTCTACTAAAACTAACTAAACTTCAATAATGGTTTTCCTTGGTCTGTGAGCCTAATACATTTTTTTTTAATTTTAAGCTCAGAGAGGTCAAATTTTAGCTCTTCAATTGCAAATTTTATTCAGCTTACGGAGGCCTCCTGCGGCCCACAGACCCCTGCCAATTGTTCCTCCTGCCAATTATTATTCGCCCTGGTTGGGGGTCCGGGGGCAAATTGTTGGTCAGTCGAGAGGAGGAGAAAAAAAAATCTATCTTCCGCGGCCGGGATTCAGTGCCACGCTAGGAAGCACTGAACATTAGAGAACGTAGACAGCATTTATATGTTCTCTAACGTTAGAGGGTGTAAACACTAACCTCTATAAATAGATCTAAGATAAGATCAGATAATATTATGACGAAATGGTACTATATTGTCCTGAAGGGAACTTTTTCTACCCAATGATTATAAATCCGATATAAATATTTACGGTCTCTTGATCTACATCTCTATAAATAGATCTACCTAATGCTATATATAGCTTCACCTGTCTCTATGAATAGATGCATTTCTCTCTATAAATAGATGCATTTCTCTCTATAAATAGATGTACCTGTCTATAATACCTGTTTCTAAAAATAGGTCTAGATATTTCAATAAATAGATGTACCTGACTCAATAAATAGATGTAGAAAATCTACCTGTCTGTTAGCCGTGACCCAGAGCGGCTCCCCCCCGCCCCACCAGTGTGGGTTCGACTGTTCCGGGTTGGTGCCAATCAGGAAGTACTCGTCACGTGACATGTCGTACATGTAGTTTCCCGTCATGCCGTGCGACTCTGTGTGAAGACCTAGGGAGTACGGAGGAAGGCACGAGGGGAAGTTATGGTTTTTGGGTTAGGTTTGGTTCGTTTTGTTTTGTTTTGTTTTTGGTTGTTTTTCGTCCCTTTTTTATGTAGGTGTTTTTATTCCCATATCGACACAAGTGAATCAGACCATTTAGGAGGTCCAGGTCTGGCACTGGTAGCATAATGTTGGTTTGAATATTGAGGTGATAAGCTGCCTCTTTGTGTCCATGGAGATGTTTGAATGAGATAGGAGGAGTGCGAGCTGGTAGGTGACAGCGTTTGCTTTTTGAGTTCGCATTTCTATTTCTCTGTCTAGGGACCCGTTTTTAGTAAAAGTGCTGCCAAGATATTTAAACTCCTTCACATGTTTCAGTTGTTTACTATTGACATGGATGTTCAGACCTGGACCTCCTAAATGATCCTAAATTCTACCAGTGTCAGACCTGGGCATTAAGTAAGACCCATGAAAGCAAAATCACTGCATGCGAAATGAAAAGTCTCCGCAAAACCCTTAACATCACAAGACGAGACAGACAGAGAAATGAAGAAGTAAGACCAGCTGTTGGCACTGAGTCCTGTCTGCGTTACATAGAAAGACAGAGGATAAAATGGTTTGGCCACCTGTTACGTATGTCACCTGGCCAGCCAGCCTCGAAAGCCTACAACATCAAGCACTCAGGCTATAAAGGAAGAGGAAGGCCACTCAAAAGGTGGATCGAGTGTGTCAGGAAAATCCTAAGAAGTAATAATATCACAACTGAAAGAGCTGCGGAGCTGGCCTACCATAGAAAACTGCATCTCCTCTCGACGCTTAACGGCAAAAGAGGATTTAAAAAAATAAACGTAAGTAAGTATTTAGGAAGTGAGGTTCTGACTGCGCAACTTGAGCTTAGATGGATAAAGCATCTTAACGTTGATGGTGGCGTAGACACCAGCATCTAAAAAAAAATATATACATTTTTTAAAAATCATAATGGGGCGTGGTTATCTTAACAATAAAAAATAGTAAAGAAACTGGGAATAAGTTCATTTTAAAGGCAGAAGTTTTCATTTTAGTAAGAGTTCTAAGGCACTTGTAACACAAAAGTGATTTTATAAGCGCCCAAGATTAGAAGTAATGTGAGGGAGTAACAAACACACAAAAGAAGAGGGAGGGATACAGACGATAGCTGATGTTTGATAGGAAGGAAGGAGCAAACCACACCAGAGCAACCTCCAACCACCCCCAGAGGTTGACGCCCGGTCTCATTGAACGCTGAACCAAGTGGATGGACAGCCTTGGGATTCGAACCAAGGCCATTAGCTCTGGTTTTGTTTGTTTGTTTGTTTGTTTGTCTGTTTCAGTAAAATGACGCACATCGACACCATAATGGTCTTTTAGTGCTGGAGAAAAAGCAAGACAGATATATAGAAGTAACTAAGGAAATTTTAAAAAGAAATATAATCTAACAGTGTCGCCCTCCAACCACCCGCGTCATGTGCCCTGTTTTTGTTGTTGTTGTTGTTTTGTTTTGTTTTGTTTGTTTTTTGTCTTTTTGTTTGAGCAAAGAGAAACACA